CGGAGCACCTGAGAGACCGTCGTTAAGGGGACAAATAACCAAGCAGCTCTTCAAACCACCCCTATTTATTGCATCAAAGCCCGAAGTTCTGACGGTTCGCGCGTTTTCTTTTCGACTTTTATTAAGACACGCGGGCCCTAGGGGAAAAAAACCCAAGCTGCTCCTCAAAATACCCGTATTTATTACAGCAAACGCCAAAGTTCTAACGGTTTGCATGTTTTTGTAAGGGGACAAATAACCAAGCAGCTCTTCAAACCACCCCTATTTATTGCATCAAAGCCCGAAGTTCTGACGGTTCGCGCGTTTTCTTTTCGACTTTTATTAAGACACGCGGGCCCTAGGGGAAAAAAACCCAAGCTGCTCCTCAAAATACCCGTATTTATTACAGCAAACGCCAAAGTTCTAACGGTTTGCATGTTTTTGACTTTAATTAAGACACACAGACCTATTTATTACATCAAACCCCAAAGTTCTAACAGTTTGCACATTTTTCTCTTCCTTCCAGGCTGTCCGAAACGTGACGAGGGGAAGGCAAAAAAGTACACGTATCCAAACAAAGCCATGGAATAAAAAGCCAATAAAGATACGTTTATAGAAAACTCGGTCTTTAATTAAACGCAATGTAAGTGGTGTACACAGATTGATACATACAAAAAGACAGATGCATAAAATAAAAGTTAGTATTGTACATTTCTTGTGCCTTCTGCTGAAACGTTGCACATTTCTCTTCACCACTGATACCATGGAGGGAATAAAACACAGCAGTATTAACTCCGATCTCAGCTCTTACTTACAGAATTTAGATGGCGACACTGTAGAATATTCTTGCTTTCATAAAAAAATATCTTATAAAAGCTGTTATCTACCATTATTGGAGAGCTCTGCTGATGTCAGTATGACTATTCACAGCTTGATTAACCCGTTGTTGTTGTTGTTCAGTTCAGGCTACACCTGCAATGATTATTTCGGTCAGTTCCGAGACACCGAATCCTCTCTCACCCGATCACCTTTTCTACTTCTCCAGCGGGGCCCTTTACAGGCTTCCCAAATTTCGGTGCTAATGCTGACTGCAGCATTAACACAGCAGGATAAAGACATGACAACCAAAGGGCATTAAAATATAAAATACTTCACCGCTTTATTCTTCTGATTTTTTCAGCTTTGATTTTGCCTTCTTTTCACGTGAGGAAGCTTTGGGTGTTTCAACTTTCTTTGCAGTTTTGGCAGTTTTCTTTTTCAGCATTTGCGTTCTGGAACGTATCAGGTCTTCACGTCCGAGTTCAGCCATTTTTGCTTCCCACGACTTCATTTCATTCTCGTACCGGACCTTATCATCTTCAGCAAGCTGCAGGTATGGCTGGAAGAACATCAGGCATCGACAGTTAAGGAAGGGGCTTTGTCAGCATAACCATGTCACAGCCTTTCCTTTGATACAAACGTGACTCATTACAAGACCTGTGCGGCTCCGGAAAATTCAAAACACATCAAACTTGCACAAAAATACAAAACCTGAGCATTGAGTTACGGTTATATCAACAGATGGCCATTCCTGAAGAGGACATTTATTCAGCTAAGGCTTTTTACTTGAGCACTAGTTTGAGAGCGCTGTCTTACGCAAGGAACAGGCATAGATATTTCTGCACAACTATTCTGAATTATTTTTCTACAGGAAAAACATGAACCTAGTGCATGTTCTAAGTACACATCCAAAACAATCTGGAAGAAGGGCGTTCAGGAGGAAGGACAGTAAAGTACAGAATGCTTGAAAACCTGGAGGCTTAGATTAGGTTTCAGTATAGCACCACTCCAATTTTCATACACCCATCTGCAGGTTCGTCTTTCAATACATTTAGAAGCTGGCAGAAAACTATCCCCAAGACAACCAAAGTTAATGAATTACTGCGTGCACATCACTTATTGATTTCTTTTGCTTTTACCTGTAAAAAGTCTTTCCACAAGCAGAAAATTACTATGCTGGCATTTAAAAATATTATCAGTTATTAGGGAAAAAAAAAAAAAAAAGAAATCATTGCAAATTATTCCACCTTCCTCCCTAGGTGCCGCTCAACGTCCATTTCCAGGCACACGGAACTTCCACCCTATCCTGCCCGCTCACGTTACATCAACACTGTGAAAGAAATGGTCGCTACTGGAATAAAAGCAATGACAATCTTTTTCAAGGTGCATAAATACAACCTCAAAGTATCTTCCTCACTGTTATATTTTGAGCAACCGAGTTCAGGATTTTGTGTGAATTTATTAATTTTGACTCAAGTTCCCCACTTTTCAAATAGATCGGAGCTTCATCAAAATCCACTGACGTACCTGCTTTTGAGAATTGGACAGTTTTCGCCATGTATCAAATAACTGCTTCAGCTTTGCCTACAGGATACAGAATATGCAATTAATTATTATTATGCAATTTGTTAGGATTATTTTTACAGTACACTGACCACAGGGGGTTACAAATGCCACACTAGCGAAACCCGAGTACAAACCAGTATAAAACAGCACAAAGTCACATGGGCTTAATACTCCACCCTCTTAACGTAGGCAAAAATAATAAACAATACCGTTCAACAAGTTGCTGGGCATCACCCGAGCCACATCTGCAGACAATATAAGCACAAAGCAGTTTAAGCTACTTAGCCTGCTGCGAAAAGAGGCAGGCAGAACAGCTGAGATGATTTATAGCAACATGACTACATCTCGCCCTGCGTATTAGTTTCATTAAAACCAAGCCCTGACTTAAGCCGAGGCACTCTTGCATGTTCAATCAACATTGACTGTGCTGCGGGAGGTACAACAATCGCTACTACAGAAATGGCAGCAGACCCCCACAACCATTTGAAAACCTATTGCATTTCTACACCAAGCCAAGGGATAGTAGAATTCTCTCCTTACAGAAGGAACAGGTGAATTCTGTAACGCCAAAGTGGAAAAACAACGCAAATATTTCAAGTCTGTATACCCGCACGGCTGTTTATATAGGACATGCCACTAGCAGTATAGCCAGATCACTGCAGTCTAAAAAAAAAAATAACCTAAGCAAAGCAAAATCCAGATACCGAACTCGTGAACAGTTTCTTTCAAAACGACAGAACCTAAACCAGATTTTCTGAATACAACAGATCTATTTTAAAGAACAATCTTTCCTGGCTTACCACAGGTGAAATTCCCTCGCTTTCTTGAAAGTTTTCTGACACAAAAATGTTAAAGCCGCTACGAGGTCTTTTAGGTTTTCCAAGCACAGTCAATTCCTTTAAAAACAACAAGAAAAGTTATTCGATCTACCAAGTGTGCATTTTTCCAAAGCTAAACTTACCATCTGTCTTTACATTTTATATAAAAAAAAAAAAATCAGACTCAAATTCATTTTTTGGTGTTTTATTCCGTAAAGTGGACTGTGTATCAAGATGCTTTAGTTATTCTCACCACTTGTCAAGACTAAGGCTAAACTAAAGCTAAAAACTTGAACTCTCAGACATTAAAAAAAGGCATTTTAAAACCAATTCTAACTTCAGCTAAGCCTTCCAGAAACCAAAGACCATTACTAAATTCCACTCAGTAAGAAAGTGGTGACGACAGGTTTTCTATTATCTTCCCAAGGCTTCGGTCTCTGGTGTGAAACACTGTATGCTTGCAGAGAGGAGGGCAGATACCTAACTGTGGGAGGTGAGAAGGTGGAACAGAACCAGCAGATTTCCAGGGAAATGGAACTAGGTTTCTGCTATCGGAACGCTCTGCCTACAGGGATGATGGTGAGAGAGGGAAAGTACAGCAAGATAGGGATGCCGTTATACTTCTTGTTTTTTCCAGCCCTAGGACACTCCCACTGCAGCCTGGCTGCTGCAAATTAAGACCTGCTTCGCTATTAGGCATGCCAGCTGAATTCCTTGTGGTGCCATACTCTAAACTCCCTCTAAGTAAGGGTCTTTTAAAGCAAATTAATTTAACTTTCACCAGTTAGGGCAACGTCACACCAGCAGTTTAATTCATAGAAACGAACAAGCAAGAAGTAACCCCTTCAACTGATTTTGTCACTGGAGAAACCATAATATTGTACCTTTACAGACGGTTCTGTCTCTCAGGGTTTATATATAAACCAGCTAAAAGGGGAAAGAGAACCTCAGTGAAAAAGTCAATAAAGGACACGGACAGATGCAGCCCTAATTCAACACGTCAGCAGCTACACAGTGGCAGAACCCAAAGAAAGGAAGGAAAAAAGGCCACTTCAAACAGCGACTGCTTTGTAGCGGCCACTGAAGTAACAGATACAAGGCCTTTGTGAAAAGCTATTTCCCAACCAGTGTTGCTGGTTGCTGGTTCAAATGTCTTTTATCCCCTATTGTTTCTCAGGCAGCTTTAGGAATAGGAAGAAAAAAAAAAAGCAAAGAGAAGCTACCTCTAAGCACACAGGTACGTGCTAGTTCTTGTCTTCAAGCACAGGAAAGCCACTGAAACAACTGCTAACACCAGCAATTATTTTAGTCCATAGGGTTTTTGGGGTTTTGTTTCATTTTGGGTTTCTGGTGTGGGTTTGTTTTTTTTTTTAATTCTGAGAGTCACTTTTGTATTTCTAAACATGCTTCAACTCTGCTCCATATATTAGACAAACACACTTCAGGTTCCTTGAGAGAAAAGAAACTTGAACTTCAAAATACTTACTCTTTTTGCCCTGAATGATCTTCTTTTTGCCAGTCGTCTTCTCCTCTCTTCTTTCAAAGCCACAGCCTGGGCTGGACTTAGCTGTGCTTTATATGCAGCCAACTGCTCTTCGTATCTTTGCCAGTCTGTCTTTCTAGCTTCCTCATAAACCTACAATGCAAACAATCACCAACCTTAAACAGATGCTTTCAGTGAGATAAGCCTTTAAAATGACCGAGAAAGATAAACGGCCTTTGAATACACTAATTCTGAGAGAATAATTCCAATCTCCGTATCACTGCAACTTACCAAAAAAAAAAAAAACAAAAAACCAACCAAAAAAACCCCCAAAGAAATCCAACCAAAAAAACCCCAACACCCCAAGCCTACACCTAGGTAGGAAAGGTACTTCCATGAAAGCCTAAGCTATTGCTGAGAATTTCAGTAGTCTGCATTGCCCGGTATTCCTCTTAGTTGTAGAAGCAAGTCCCGTTAATCCCACCCTGGCACCTCCTCCCAGCTTTAGACAGCTTGTTTTCTCAGCTCCATGCACTTGGCCATTAAACAGGCTAATGCTTCTAGCCTACTAATAATAAAAAAAAATAATTACAGACTACCCTGGAACATAAGATTTTTAAAGTAAAGTTGCAATTTCAGATCTCTTTGATTCGCAGAATGGATTCAGAAGAACTCAAGACACAAAACCTGGGCTCTTCCCATGAATCATCTTAGTCAATCCGGTAACATCGCACGAATCTTCAGCTGCAGCTCAAAGCAATAACCATCTTTCATATATGAAGGAAAAGCAGAAGCTTGGTTGAAACGATCAACGCGTGTATACCCACTGCAGCACACAAGTGCTCCAGTCACCAAACACGTTCCTACACTGGCCAATATCAGGTACAGAAGCATCATAAAAATCATGGCCTTGGTACCAGGGCACCAAGACGAGCTGAGCCAGGCTACCAAATATCCAGGCAGACCTGAAAAATCACCATCCCGTTCTCTCTTTCAGACATACAAATGAAAAGGCGTATTTTATGCTAAGGCACATAGAGCCAGAAGTCCAAAAAGGATGTAAGAGCACTTGAATTCTACCGACAAAGATACTACTTCAGCTAGAAAACTGCCCTTAGTTCCTAACTGCATCTAACTGCAGTCAAGGAAGAACAATCATTTTCATTATTTCAGAACAATCATATAGCTTTGCTATAAATGGCATTTATATTCAGCAACAATTAGCAATTCATAGAGTTGTTTTACATTATCCCTTGGAACCGCCGCTCTTACAGAAACTTCACTGCCTATGACAAAAAGCAAGTTTATTAGATGAAACTTAAAGAAAGTTACCTGTAAGTTAGGTGTCTGGTTACTATCTAATCTGTAGGAAAAAAAAGTTGGTCCTTTCATCAAAACTGACTGAGGTTTCACCTAGGCTGTGCATATGAAAGCAGAACAACTTTACAGTACTTATTATACATGTAACGCACACACACATAATTACCATTCTTAAAGAAATGAGATCTTGGTTCCCAGCCCTACAGTCACACAGGTTTATATAGGACATGCCACTAGCAGTATAGCCAGATCACTGCAGTCTAAAAAAAAAAAAATAACCTAAGCAAAGCAAAATCCAGATACCAAACTCGTGAACAGTTTCTTTCAAAATGACAGAACCTAAACCAGATTTTCTGAATACAACAGATCTATTTTAAAGAACAATCTTTCCTGGCTTACCACAGGTGAAATTCCCTCGCTTTCTTGAAAGTTTTCTGACACAAAAATGTTAAAGCCGCTACGAGGTCTTTTAGGTTTTCCAAGCACAGTCAATTCCTTTAAAAACAACAAGAAAAGTTATTCGATCTACCAAGTGTGCATTTTTCCAAAGCTAAACTTACCATCTGTCTTTACATTTTATATAAAAAAAAAAAAATCAGACTCAAATTCATTTTTTGGTGTTTTATTCCGTAAAGTGGACTGTGTATCAAGATGCTTTAGTTATTCTCACCACTTGTCAAGACTAAGGCTAAACTAAAGCTAAAAACTTGAACTCTCAGACATTAAAAAAAGGCATTTTAAAACCAATTCTAACTTCAGCTAAGCCTTCCAGAAACCAAAGACCATTACTAAATTCCACTCAGTAAGAAAGTGGTGACGACAGGTTTTCTATTATCTTCCCAAGGCTTCGGTCTCTGGTGTGAAACACTGTATGCTTGCAGAGAGGAGGGCAGATACCTAACTGTGGGAGGTGAGAAGGTGGAACAGAACCAGCAGATTTCCAGGGAAATGGAACTAGGTTTCTGCTATCGGAACGCTTTGCCTACAGGGATGATGGTGAGAGAGGGAAAGTACAGCAAGATAGGGATGCCGTTATACTTCTTGTTTTTTCCAGCCCTAGGACACTCCCACTGCAGCCTGGCTGCTGCAAATTAAGACCTGCTTCGCTATTAGGCATGCCAGCTGAATTCCTTGTGGTGCCATACTCTAAACTCCCTCTAAGTAAGGGTCTTTTAAAGCAAATTAATTTAACTTTCACCAGTTAGGGCAACGTCACACCAGCAGTTTAATTCATAGAAACGAACAAGCAATAAGTAACCCCTTCAACTGATTTTGTCACTGGAGAAACCATAATATTGTACCTTTACAGACAGTTCTGTCTCTCAGGGTTTATATATAAACCAGCTAAAAGGGAATACGGAAGATAACCTGTATGAACAAGTCAATAAAGGACACGGACAGATGCAGCCCTAATTCAACACGTCAGCAGCTACACAGTGGCAGAACCCAAAGAAAGGAAGGAAAAAAGGCCACTTCAAACAGCGACTGCTTTGTAGCGGCCACTGAAGTAACAGATACAAGGCCTTTGTGAAAAGCTATTTCCCAACCAGTGTTGCTGGTTCAAATGTCTTTTATCACCTATTGTTTCTCAGGCAGCTTTAGGAATAGGAAGAAAAAAAAAAAGCATAGAGAAGCTACCTCTAAGCACACAGGTACGTGCTAGTTCTGGTCTTCAAGCACAGGAAAGCCACTGAAACAACTGCTAACACCAGCAATTATTTTAGTCCATAGGGTTTTTGGGGTTTTGTTTCATTTTGGGTTTCTGGTGTGGGTTTGTTTTTTTTTTTAATTCTGAGAGTCACTTTTGTATTTCTAAACATGCTTCAACTCTGCTTCATATATTAGACAAACACACTTCAGGTTCCTTGAGAGAAAAGAAACTTGAACTTCAAAATACTTACTCTTTTTGCCCTGAATGATCTTCTTTTTGCCAGTCGTCTTCTCCTCTCTTCTTTCAAAGCCACAGCCTGGGCTGGACTTAGCTGTGCTTTATATGCAGCCAACTGCTCTTCGTATCTTTGCCAGTCTGTCTTTCTAGCTTCCTCATAAACCTACAATGCAAACAATCACCAACCTTAAACAGATGCTTTCAGTGAGATAAGCCTTTAAAATGACCGAGAAAGATAAACGGCCTTTGAATACACTAATTCTGAGAGAATAATTCCAATCTCCGTATCACTGCAACTTACCAAAAAAAAAAAAAAAAAAAACCAACCAAAAAAACCCCCAAAGAAATCCAACCAAAAAAACCCCAACACCCCAAGCCTACACCTAGGTAGGAAAGGTACTTCCATGAAAGCCTAAGCTATTGCTGAGAATTTCAGTAGTCTGCATTGCCCGGTATTCCTCTTAGTTGTAGAAGCAAGCCCCGTTAATCCCACCCTGCCACCTCCTCCCAGCTTTAGACAGCTTGTTTTCTCAGCTCCATGCACTTGGCCATTAAACAGGCTAATGCTTCTAGCCTACTAATAATAAAAAAAATAATTACAGACTACCCTGGAACATAAGATTTTTAAAGTAAAGTTGCAATTTCAGATCTCTTTGATTCGCAGAATGGATTCAGAAGAACTCAAGACACAAAACCTGGGCTCTTCCCATGAATCATCTTAGTCAATCCGGTAACATCGCACGAATCTTCAGCTGCAGCTCAAAGCAATAACCATCTTTCATATATGAAGGAAAAGCAGAAGCTTGGTTGAAACGATCAACGCGTGTATACCCACTGCAGCACACAAGTGCTCCAGTCACCAAACACGTTCCTACACTGGCCAATATCAGGTACAGAAGCATCATAAAAATCATGGCCTTGGTACCAGGGCACCAAGACGAGCTGAGCCAGGCTACCAAATATCCAGGCAGACCTGAAAAATCACCATCCCGTTCTCTCTTTCAGACATACAAATGAAAAGGCGTATTTTATGCTAAGGCACATAGAGCCAGAAGTCCAAAAAGGATGTAAGAGCACTTGAATTCTACCGACAAAGATACTACTTCAGCTAGAAAACTGCCCTTAGTTCCTAACTGCATCTAACTGCAGTCAAGGAAGAACAATCATTTTCATTATTTCAGAACAATCATATAGCTTTGCTATAAATGGCATTTATATTCAGCAACAATTAGCAATTCATAGAGTTGTTTTACATTATCCCTTGGAACCGCCGCTCTTACAGAAACTTCACTGCCTATGACAAAAAGCAAGTTTATTAGATGAAACTTAAAGAAAGTTACCTGTAAGTTAGGTGTCTGGTTACTATCTAATCTGTAGGAAAAAAAAGTTGGTCCTTTCATCAAAACTGACTGAGGTTTCACCTAGGCTGTGCATATGAAAGCAGAACAACTTTACAGTACTTATTATACATGTAACGCACACACACATAATTACCATTCTTAATGAAATGAGATCTTGGTTCCCAGCCCTACAGCCAGACAGAGCGAGATCTGTCTCATTTGTTTCTCTAGCAACAGGTTAAAAATACTAAAAATAAGGTCACGTGTAGAAGTATCAAAGTATCCTCCCCTGAGGACTTCAAAGCTCACAATTCTCTTCAGAACTGTTTTTATGTCTGAACTACTGTACGCAAATTTTTTTTTATTGTTGTTTAAAAAAAAAACAAAACCAACCAACAGTGAAAAAAAACCCACAACACAACGCAAAGAACCACAGAGGACACCAAACCAAGTAAAACAACCACTAAGACTCTACATAGAGTTCAAAGCACACAGGGCAAAGACACAAACTTACCTGCTTCTGTGACGCTGGTAACTCCTTCCAAGCACCCGCTATTTTTTTAACCAGCTCCATGTTGCTCATTTCTGTACATTAAAATTAGAAAGCAAGAAAATAAAGATCAATATCATATCCTCAGTAAGCTGCTTCATTTTTTCCCATGGAAAGCTGTCACTACTACCTTTTTCCTCCTTTCATTAACTCGCTCACTGTGGCAGTTAAAGGGAACTCTAATATTGGGGGGGGGGAAGAGTCTCTGCTCTTGGTTCAAACTCAAATGAAACGTGCAGTTATAAACTGAAGCACCATTTCAAAACTGACAGCTACTACCACACCACAACAGTTTTTGTTTTTGTTTTTTTTTTTTTTGAGTTGGATCCTTTTCCATATAATGCAAGATGGTTTGAACTTGGAGGGGGAAGAGGGGGAAGAAACCCAAAGTAAAATTTCCACTTCTCGTTTTTTTGGCAAAAGCAGTCTGCTGGATTCTTCAAATCATGCAATAATATGACCTTACCCACCTGATATATGCTTGGTCTGTTTTAAAATTAAGTTCTTTACTTACAATATTATTCAACAGAAGTAAGGTTAAAGAAAAAGTCATTTCCTCCTGCCACAAACAAAATAACAGTGACTTGAATTCTGCTTTGGTTTCCAGCTGACTACCTTTGACTCTGGCCCTTGCACTATGGTCATTTGACAAGGTTTCCAGCCACCTGAATTTGTGAAGGGGGAAAAAAAAAAACCCCAACCCCCAAATAGTAAAAAAATCCAATAAAAAACCCAAGGGTGGTAAAAAGAGGACATAAGCTTTTCTTTTCTTGAAAAATCTTTCACAGGTTTTCCCTCTGCTTCACACTAAAAGAAAAAAATAGATCTTCCTCTCTCCCACCTCAACTATAAAGTCCAGCCATCTCAATGGTGGAAAAGCAGAACTAAGCTCTTATTGGAACCCTGACTTCCAGAATTGTGGAAAAACAAGACAGATGGGGAGTTTTTAGTCCGAGTATACCAATCTTAAAGCCTTTGAAAATACAATGCTTTGTCAATGACAAAAAAACCCAAATAAATTACCAGGTTTTTTTTGGACATTACCTCTATCAGAACAAGAAAGCCCGAACTTCTCAATCTGCACATGAGATACAGTACATTTATTTGCAGATTACGCAAATTTTGGAAACGTGTGGAAAACACTGGAGCGGCACGTAACTACAATAAACTCCCCAAGTTCAGTTCTCAACCTTTCAGACTGTTGAACCTGTGAACTACCGAGCAAAACAGGGCATCAGACGGGTATTCCCTACCTACTTTTACCTCATGACTTGCCCAACGCGACCATAGTTCTTTAAGCATTTTAACATTCAACAGTATTTTCAAAATCAGCGCAGCTTTCCGTTTTGCTGCCTTCGGACATGAAGAGCGACTGCACTGCCTATAAATGATGTCTGTGATAAGTTAAATGTATTCACAGGAAACCATTTTCCTCTAAATGCATTTATACTTTTTCTCCCATATACGCTGAGGCAACCCAGTTTCTGTTGTTTCTAAACTCGTTACGCCAACAACAGCATACTTCAAACGCGTGGAGATTTAAAAGTAACTGGAAAACACAAACCATGGTTAATGCATATTGCCCAGGTGAGCTCTTTCTTCAAACATTTTTAAAATAACACACAAATATTTGGTTTTTTAAGGTACTAGGGCTCGAAGGCTAAGCTAATAGAGGCGCAGGCAGGTAAGTACGGTGATGCTGAATGTGCTGGTGATGAGCTGCGGATAAGTGGACGGTGTTGGCCTCCCGCCGTCAGGGCAACGGCCACGAGTTACTTCACGATGCTTCATTTCACAAAGCGCTACTTTCAGAGGATCATTTAAGTTGGAAAAGACCTTTAAGATCATCAAGCGCAACCGCTGCCCTGGTTTCCTCTCTCAGCAGTGCGTTCAGGAGGGACGCGGCCGGAGCGACGGCAGCTTCACGCCAGGGGCTGCCTGGCACTGCCGGGACCCCACGCTTCCCAAGGCCAGACAGAGCCAAGGGCGGGTCCTCCGGCACCTGGCGCCCTTCATAGGATCACAGAATGGTTTGGGTGGGAAGGGACCCCCAGAGGTCACCCAGCCCAACCCCCCTGCAGGAGCAGGGACACCTTGAACCACATCAGGTTGCTCACAGCCCCGGCCAACCTGGCCTGGAATGGTCCCAGGGATGGGGCCTCCACCCCCTCTCGGGGCAACCCCTGCCAGGGTTTCACCACCCTCACTG